TGTTTTGCAGCGGTTCGTTAAGACAAAAATATCGACAAGAAGATGCAATTAGCGAATCAAACAAGAATCCGATGCCTACAAGAAGATACAAGTGAAGAGACTCAGATGGACAACAATACGCCATCTCTCTCGGCGGCCACCGCATGTTGAAACCTGCGCAATAGGTTCACGCGCACTCTAGTTGTATCTCTCCTCAATGGCAGAGACTAGGAGTCTCTTTAAGAATGTTAGTTGATTTGGGGAGGGGGGTCATGTAATATTATTGATAGAGTAATGATGAATGTTTGTAAACGACAGAAAATTGTCTATATATTACCTAGTGTATCTGATAAAAAAGTTGTATGCTCACGGAGAGAAAGTGTGGTTAAATGTATTGGATGAATTCGAATGTGTTATTCAAGTCAGAAGTCAAGAAACCGTTGCAAATTTTGTAGTTGTTGAAATGTATTTTAAAGATAAGTAGGTAATATCAAGAATTTTTAGTTGACTATACTAATTGATAATAAGTGCACCCCAGTAGCACAGCCTGAGGCGAATCCCTATCAACTTGCGTGATAAAGTTTAACTGGAAAAATGATTGATTTAGACTTTATAATTCTAAAAACATTGTGGAAATATGGTAAAGGAAATAATCGTCCACACAAGGTTTAATAATTTTTATTAATTATTACCCAGAGTTAACTTTCGGGAAACACTTTTCCCATCCTCAGGTCTCTGGCGAGGAGGAGAAAATTGAAACATTAAAACAAGTTGAACAAAAGAAATACAATGAATTTAGTGGAAAAAACAATTTCAAATAAATAAAATTGAAAATACTTACTGCCCAAGCAACGCGGATCACGCCTGAACGGCCATAAGTGAGATGTTTTAAGAAAGACCTGTTTATAATGAGAGGCTTCACCTCGAATGGAATGGCTATTAAATTCACTTTATAAGAGCAGACATGTGCTTTAGTGCAATACGAGCATGAGAAAAATCCTATCAGCCATGTATCCTAGAAGAGTCTACAGACTGAGCAGCCAAAGCAACACTGGATCAGGTAACCTGGTAAAAAAAAAAAAAAAAAAAGTGCATAATCAGGCGAGTCGGGGCAGTCACCCTGGGGCCGGGCGGGTACAATATGAAATGAAATAAATGTAAAAAGAAATCACACCACTTATGTTTGTAAATACTGCTTTTTTATTTACACTTAAATTACTCTTGATTCAATTTTTCTAAACCTAACACATATTAGAGCACCTATTCAGGAACAGGCCATTAATAGAAAATTTATTTCAAATTAGACCTACAATAGAAATCAGTGAAAACAATGAGGCAAAAGCAATATGTAACACTGGTTCATAATACTAATTAGGTAAATTATTGCAAATCTTAAAAAACAAATACATTGTAACATTTATTACCAGTCTACGATATATTGCAGGTAAGCTACAATGCTCATAAGCTTCCACTTGCAATACTTTTTGCAGTAAGAAAAACAAAAGAATAGAAATAACATGAGCTTATGACCTGTAAGATGACAAGAATCAAAATACTATTGACTAATAACTATGTTGTCTAAAAAAAAATACATAAAAAAGTCCCAGAAATATTTTGTTTGGAAGATTGTTCAAGTTCTTAACAATTTATTTATTTCTTAACCTTATTAAACTAAAATTAAGGTAGCATGAGTGATTCAGACCTCCTAAAATCACAGCCCCAAAATATGAGGAAATTAATTCAACAAGGCTGAAAACATCGCTGTTGTTACCAAAAGGACACAGTTCCAATAAGACTCAAATTAAGAATGAAACATTCAAAAAGCTGCCAACACTATATGTTCCTACATGGACCCTCAGAGATTGTACAAACTTTGAGTTTTGGTATGGGATACAACACCAACTTGAAGCAAAAATAAAATACTTTTGTAAAGAAAATTTAAGTTCGCAAAACAAAAATGAATGTTTGATTTGTTTCTCAGTTTTAAAGACAGACCAATGGAAAAGAATACACAAAGCCTGGTAATTTGTATATTAAAGAATAAACAATTGATTTCATGAAAACCTTTTTAGAATAAACATTTTAGAAACATCAACTGTCATTACTTTCTATACAACAAACATTTCCTTATATCTTTCGTTAGTACACATCTTTGAAATACAAAAACAAGCCATATTGCACTATACAAATTATTATGATTGTGAGGTTAATATTTGAACAAAAATGTTCCCCACTTTTCATATAAAGAAATAATACTAATAATCTTATAAACATTATTTACAAGTTGGGAAGACACGATAAAAGGTTTCAGGAAGTCAGATTTCATTAAGTAATGACTTAGTAAATCCATTTCATTTCAAGAAGAGCTCTTATCAAAAGGCCATGTCTGTGTTTCACGTCAAAACAATAAATGTAGTACTCAATTTTTGAACATTAAAGGCTTGAAAAACACTGAAGCACAACACATTTTGTTGCAAATTTTTATGTAAAATTTACCATACAGGACATTTTCTTCCTTTTTCAAAATTTTGCTTAAACCTCAAACTCATCAAAATTTTCTAAGTGCAGGTACATGTCAGTAAGACGCAATTGCCACTACCATAGCTGTAGAGGATACAAAGTTTCATGAGACTTTGTCCTAACCCACATAACCTGAAAATCCAGTAGAAAGGGAGGCTGACAATCATCAGAAACAATATTGAGAATACTCACTATTGATGCTAGCTTTCATTTCAAAATATAAATCCAAACGGTAACTAATATTAACAATGGTATGCTCATAAAACCATTAAATATTCTAATCTAATTTACCACTTTAAGTAAATGCCAAATTTGTGCATGACTGGTACAAGGGGTACATACAATTCTAAGTAGTATTTTTCTCATTCATTCTGTCAGAAAACTTAAAAATCTTTACTTTTCTTCATATATAATTTCTTATGTGTTAAAACTATTATAAATAAAATCAGATCATCAGGAAACTTATTTGGAAATATTTATTTTCTAAAGTCCTTTTGTTGTACTATTCCCCATCTAAACTATTCGTAAAACTCCACACTCAAACACATACTATAATGTGACAAAACTTGCATGTCAATGTAATTTTTGGCTCAAGGAAGAGTATGTGTGTTTCATTGATGACAAATTGAATCATCAAGTCATTAGACTCCCAGATTTAGTTTTCTTGCAATTAAAGAATCTTGGAATTTCCTGCATTGAAAACTCATTCTCCTACTATATCAGCTATCAGAGTTTTTGGAATATTATTTTAGCCACCTACATTTCATAATCTTACGATCACGAGTTTTGATTCAATTTCATAATTTATAACTTTCTACAATTTATCATTAAGCATCCAAAATGCATATATAAAGAAAAGGATGTATATATTTCTTAAGCATAAGATTTCTTTTTCTTGTGCACTTGCTGGTGGTGTAGCAAATTCTCAGAATGCTTAAACGCTTTGCCACAATCTTGACATTTATGCGGGTGTGAGCGTTGTCTTGAATGCAACTGCTTATGTAGAGCTAGTGCATGCGCATTTGTGAATGCCATCCTACATTCATTACAAATGTATGATCTGGCCCCTGGATGAGATTCCTGCTGGTGGCGCACTAAATGATCTGAGCGTAGAAACGCTTTCCCACACTGTTGACATTTAAAAGAATGTTCTCTCATGTGCAATTGCTGATGTTGTTGGAGGTGGTCACTGCGCCTGAATATTTTGCCACATTCATTACATTTGCATGGGTGATCCAAATGGATGACCTTATGTCTATTAAGAATGTATAGATTTGGAAAAACCTTTCCACATTCTGTGCACCTACGTGCTCGTTCTCTCTTGTGCTCCCTCAGATGCTTTTCAAGACAACGCATGAAGGCAAAATTCTTGCCACATCTTGAGCAGGTATGCCAATATCCTTTTGAAATAAGTTCATCTTCATCTTCTTCATCATTGATGTCATCATCTTCAACACTTGAAAATTTGCTCTTATCAGTATCTGTGTCATCCTCAGAGGCATTATCAGTGTCATGGTTCTTGTTTCTTCTGGAAATGTTACAAATAATATCACTTCTCATTATATAATCATCTTCAAGACTGGCAATGCTTTCAGGATTACCTACAGATCCAGGTCTGGATTGATTTGGAGAACCTACAGTTTCAATATTGTCCATAATAGAGGTAGATGTTTTGTGCAGTTCTGAGACTGATGCATTACACTCAGGAGAATGGGTAATTTTCTGTCTTTTTGCATTGTTGTGCTTGAAAGCATCCGAGTTTGGGATTGCTACACAGTCCAGCACAGACTTGGAACCTTGGTTCTGGGAAGTAGTAGCAACCTGTTTTTTTGCATAATCAGTTATGTGGTGACCAGAAGTATCTTGTTCCTCTGTAGCATTCAGACTAGAAGCAGCATCAGAATACCCCTTATCAGAAGGAATTTCCCGATCAGATGTGGTGTTAGAGCACTTTAGGGAGACTGAGGCAACCCCAGTAACCTCAGGGCCAACAACTGTACGATTCTCTAGATCTATATTTTCAGGACATGTAGGGGATAGTTTAAGATGCATTTCGTTTGTTGTTACTGATGTATTTGGACTACTGCTATTGTGCAGTGCTGAAACACAGTCTGTAAATAAACATAACAAACAACATTAAAATATATGAAAACAACAAATATTACTTCTAATTATGGGCGAACAATGGTAATGCAAATTTGAAATTGTAATGGGATATTAAAAAAGTTGCCAAGCAACTAATAATACTAGTTACATGCCCTAAAACTTTTCTTGTTCTTTTGGAGAATTTTCTTTGTTAAATAATAATGTTTTCATACTATTTTGCTACTGATTCAAGCAGCCTATGGGGTGAGAGAGAGAACTGCTTAAAAACTGAAACTCACACATTCACAGGTGCATGTAATGCGTATCTATGCTCAAAACTACTAATATTTTGAAATGACTGTACATGAAATTATTTAAAGATCTAATACTAAGGAAGAAAAAACGAAAAACAAAATTGAACTTTCCAATTTTTTATGAAAATTGGATCTATGTCATATTATTAAGCAAACTTTACCAACTTGATTAATGAAAAGTTTCCTAAGATTTTGAGAGAAATCTTAAAAATATATTTTTTCAAAACCATCACGATGTCATTCAGAATTACAAGAAAACTTATTTAAAACAGAAAGTGTATGCATTTTTCAAAGATCTAATTTTAAGAATGAGTTTTTTTCAGAAAATTCTTAATCTTTAATGATTTAGTTGTAAGAAAGGGTCCAAAAAGTGGGAACATTTCTGACATTTTACTGAAAATTGGATGTGTGGCATTTTTATAAGCATTCTTTTCTCTGAAAGGACTATAAATGTACTTCTCTATTTGCTTAAACGAAAAATGTTTAAGCCCACTTTTGAGAAGATTTTCAAAATATAGTTTCTGCATGTAAAAAACCCTCAAAAATTAAAATGATCCATTCCTAAATTCAAACCACCTTGAGTTGGGCTAGGTTGATCAATTTAACTCCAATTTGGAGAAAACGTGAACAGTTTAGGCAATAGTGTCATGGACGGAGCTGATGGATCTTGAGTTTTTCAAAACCTTCTTTCTAGTACATATTGGGTTTAGAAAAAAACAGTCAATATTTGAAATAAAATTGCACATGTAAAAGTTTAACTATCTCAATTTTGATAATTAGATTTCATTGTTCTCATTTCAAAATATAGTGCTATGAAAAACTAAGTTGCAAAAATTTTGAAATGTTAAGTTTTGCACACTATTCCGAATTGGTGATATTTTCCATGTAAATCTGATTTACAAAAAATATGTAAACTGTAATTTTTCTGCTCTCCCTTTGCATAAAATACTTACATTTTTACTGTTTTATGCCACTCCAAGATACAGTAATACGTCCCCTTTCTCGAAAATTGTTGAAACTATCACTTTCGAAACTCGCTTATTTTATTTATTAATTCTATTAACAACTAATAATCAATGACTCCAGGATTATTAGATTATTTTTACATTACATTCATTAAATTATTTATACAATTTAATTTTTCTCCTTCAGTAAGCATTTAATAATTTATTATTTTCAATTTAAAATATCAATTAATTTTCAATAAAATCACAAATATAAATTGCAATTATCATAATTTTTTTTTATAATTTCAATCGTATCTTTATAAAAACAGAATGGTATGTTAAAGTATTAATTACACTTTCTTTCAAAGTATAGTGCTTTTATATTAAAAAAAAAAATACCATATTTACCCCAATATAAGACTACTCTAAATAAAAGGCAAACCCCTAATTTTGAAAAGACCTCTAGAGACTTTTCTCTTTCCTTTCATTAAAAAAACCTGTTTTGTCGAACTAAAAGCACAAATGGTCATATTGACCAGGAAAATGTCTTGATACAGCTACACTGTGTTAGAATAAATTTTTTTCTGAAGTAAAAATATGTGTACTTCAATGATTTTTGTAATCTGTATTCACATTTGAGGTTGAAAATAGCTTAACAGGGATAGTTTTACAGATTCAAAATCATTCCGCCTTAGTTTATTGTTAGGGTTCTGGTAAAGTTGGCTATATTGGTTTTGTGCTAAATATTCTATTATTGGGTGAAGGGTGAATTGTTTTTTGTATTGGCAACCATTGTGTAACTGTATACACTGTATGTTATATTCCTTTTTTAACATCGTATTTGCTGTGTAAGATTTCTAACTTACTATACGCCGTCTGTAAGATTCAGATTAGAAGATATAAAATCCTCCTTTCTCATAAAATGCCCTGCCGTAAATTTCAAAATGAAACAGCCATATTCTGCTATGTTTACAGAGAATTTACTTTCATTAGGAATAGGAAGAAGATGAACTCTATTGAACAGATGGCCTATAAACACTACTTGGGTTGAGAAATAGGAGAAAGGAGAAGAAACAAGCTCCTTATTTTTGTTGTTCCAGTTGTTATGTAAAATTAATTAACTAGTACAACATAAAGGTATTTACGAGTACAACATATACAAGGTATTTATATGTTGTTTCCAGAGCCTATGATACAGACAGAACCCAGGGTACACCTTACGAATTGCTATTTCTGTATAACAAATAACCAAGGTTTCACTAAATGTAAATCAAATAAGCCCATTGAGTACCCACATTTGTCATCAGTAATGAGGTCAGTTCCTCATGATACATCTCATGTACCATCACCACCATATCAGAATGTGCAAAATGAGACTAACGAACTTTTACCCCATGAGAGTAGTGGTTTGTCATCCCTGAAAAGAAAATATCCTATCAGATAGCAGATTCAACCCCACAGTTTGTAACACAGGCAAAACTAAATGACTTTGTTCATGATCTGGGCTTATGCAAGAGAAAATTAGGGCTGTTGAGTTCCAAACTTCAGGAATGCAACCTTCTTCAAGTTGCTGCAAGTGCTACTGTGTGTAGAAATAGAAAAGTGAAGTTTGTGGGATATTTTTTATGTGATGGCAAATCAATTTTCTGCAATGTGTGTGTGAGCATTTTAACGAGAGCATTGAGATTGTTATGATCCAAATCAGTGGAGGTTACTTATAGATGTATCAAAAATACTAAAAGGTGTTTTGTTGCGCAATATCAATACAATGATTTGACCTGTGAGTCACCTATGCCACTATGTCAAAAGAGACATGATGTATTGGTGAACACGCTTTGAGCAAATATGCTTGCAGCAATTCGGTATGGAGAAAACAAGTGGCATACACATGGAAATTTAAAAATCATTGCCTCCTAATCATGGGAATGGAACTATTTTATACCAAATATCCTTGTTTTCTTTGTGAATGTGATAGTTTTACCGACCTTTTGGGGTGTAATATGTACATTAAAATGTATTTCTTAAATTCGCATTTCGACTTCTCCCCAGACAGACTGGGTGGTATCAGATGAATTATTCCATAAAGAAATAAAGACGCTTGAAAAACAATGTCAGGGGGAGTAGATGGTGGTTGAGCTTTCTTGGATTATAGTCAATCACAGTTCTGATATCCATAGAAGACAAAAGTGTTGAATGTTCATACTTTTCCGCATTTTCACAGACATTTTTGTTCCCGAGTTCGTTCCCGAAAACGTTTTTGCTACGGTAAACGAATTGTATGTCATTAAAAGTTCGAACAAATGAAAAACAAAATAACTCGAAAACTATCCCTGATAGAAAAAATCTAAATTCAGCGTAAAAATTACTCCAAGAATCACACACTTTTCATCCAGGAAAAAAGTAAACAAATATTTATTTGTAACACTGTTATTTTCGCCTGTATGTCAGTATTTTCTTTTTCCTTATAAAAATTGCAATGAATCCTGCTTAAGTGGTCACCAATTGTTCCGGCAGAAATTGGCACTTGTTAGAAGTGGCCGCTTTAGTAAGGTTATAAAATTACTAGAAGCGTATATCAAATCTAATTGTGCTAATTGCTCTAAAATGAAGGATGTTCGCTTGAACGTTTAATTACCACTACGTAACTGATAAAATACAATTTAAACAATATATTTATGATTTTTGTCTCCTCTCGTCTTATATCAAAACACGTCATTGACTTGCCAGACTCTCTCAGTCGAGAAACTCAATTTCCATCGTCACCAAATCGAACAAGCAAATTAGACGTTAAGATGCAATTCACATCTGTAGAAACTTTTCAGTCTGACGAAGGAGTTGGCGAATGACCAGTTCGGATTTGTGGCCGCGGCTGCTCCGCGAGTTCTTTAATAGAATACACAGAGATTGACTACGGATACGTCCCGAACTGTCCTTCTTTCTGGGTCCTGTCCCGTTGTCCCCAAAAAATGTTATCGGGACGTCGAAATATCGCGTGTGTGTATGTGTGTGTGTGTGTGTGTGTGTGTGTGTGTGTGTGTGTATATATATATATATATATATATATATATATAGTGCAACCAATATATTTCCATTTCATTTTTTCATTTCTCTTACAAAAATGCAGACATGCACAAAAGTGTCGAAACGAGCCCGCGTGGCCTTTCTGGATTATGTAACAAAAACATAGTGTAACAAAATCTCGGCAACGATGTTTATTCATTTTGAGGCTGCATTTCACTTACTGCGTGTAACAAATGGCATCTTTTGATTCCCTCTTTACGGGCCCGTTTAAAAATATTGGTCCGAAGCGCCCGGCAAATCTGTGTTGAATGTCAAGAATTTCTCTATGAATATCACGTACTATATATAAGGCCAGTTTCAAAAAGGAATTTACAAGTTCGCATTGGTTTATTCCTTGAACTTTCTGAATTTGTTTTTGAGTCAATATTAGCAAAATACATGAAGTTTTACTTATCAGATCCAAATTTTACATAAAAGAAATTCAATGTGTCTTCCATTGATCATGCGATACTTGTACCATCTGATGTCTAGTTCGTGCCAAACCCGTTGCAGCTTGTCAGGCTTTGCGAGACAAATTCTAATTCTCAGCTCTGGTTGGAAACCTGGAGAGGGTGGAACAAACGGTATCCTTGATAAGCCCTCAAAAGAAAAAAACAAGGTGTGTTAGATCCGGTGAATGTGAGGGCCATGTCAATTTCCACACCCAACCACCATGTAGCATTTTCAAACAAAATTCTTTACAAGAAATCAGTTGATTTTCGTTCTTGCACCATTATTAACTTGAATGGTTTGAGATGCAACCGTTTTCTCAAGTCACGCCCAAATTTCGAGAAGCACACCAGGCTGATTTTGTAGGACTTAACAACGATTTGCTCACTCTCAGCGTATGTACATCCAGTTACATTAAAGCACTTATGCCACTGATAAACTGTAGGTCTACAGGGAGTCTTTACCATACTCTGTAGAAAAATTACGAGGCACAGTTGTCGTGGGCTTCGAATTTTCAAACCAAAACACGCAGCGAGCACGCTCCGGGCCGGTAGAGGGAAGGACAGGCTCAGAACCGATGAATCTTTTCTGTATCTGCTAGGTCCACTGAACGAATTTGTACGAGCACTCACACTTGTAAATACCTTATTGAAACATTCTGTATATTCGAAATTTTTATCGTCTTTACAGCGTATTCGTAACGCTTACGCGTAACGCTTTACAACGTAACGCCAACGTTCAAGTTTCTCAAGTTGGAAAGGCAAAGTAACAACATAGATCCCAACCGACTTGGCACACATTACGAATGTAATGCAAACGAGACATTAAGGGGGAAAATCAAACTAACGGGTGGTACTACGGAATGGAAAAATACTTTTCATATTAGTTTTCTATTGGGTCTGGACTAGCTATTCGGACTTGCCACATACCATCTATCGCCGTCAAAAGTACATTTTTAAACAATTTCTCAATTTTTCGGTTTCTTAATAGTATAACCGAAATATTACTTTAAGAATATTAAAGAAGAGTAAAACTTCCCCCAAAATGGCAATTTTCATTGAAAAAATTGGAGCCGTTTTCAAGAAAATGACGTTTAAGCGTTACTGTAAATGCGAAATTAGAAAAATTTTTTCAGAGTAATCTTATGAATTTTCGAAAAACTTTCTCTGAAGCACTTTAACTCAGCCATGCAATAGTGTTTACAAATGGCTAAAAATGTGCATTTTAACGGCGTGAAAAATATTAGAAAAAAATACAATAGTGCAATTTTAGAAAAAAAAAAAAACAAAATAATGCAGCAAAATTAATTTTTTGTCATATTAAACAGTCAAACAGTTAATTTTGTCAAATTAGCATTATCAATCGGAAAAGTATGAAGAAAAATTTTGAGCCACGTTGGAAAAAATGGCGTTTGAGCGTTTCTGAAAATGCGGAATTTTGAGTTAATTTTCACAAAAAACTGTTCAGGTTTCGTGAAACTGAATGCCATTATTTGAAGCACATGTATTCATAAATAAAATAATGTGTACAAATCGCCGCTAATGTAAAAATTAATGACGAGAGCGACATGTCAAAAAATGTTTTTGTATTTGTTGAAAAAATAAAATAGAGTAAAATTGTATCTGATAGAGTACATTTAGCACTATCCCTGCCAAAAGTATAAAGTAAAAATTCGGAGCTTCGGGAAAATCTTGTCTTTGTTATTTTCTAAAATTACACATATTGCTCGTAATATTGCACGTAAACTACAATTTCCAAAAAATGTAAATGACTTCAATGAAAGAACTTATCTTGGACACCAAATTTCACTTAATTTTTCATACACTTCTATCTTCAATTTTGTATTTGTAGGAAGACGCCGGAATAAATTGAAACGTTTGCAACTTTCGAAAATTCAGAGTGAACAGTGAAAATAGGACCTATAGCTTTATAAGCGTATTTTACTCTATTCTTAACAAATTTAAATAAAAGATTTGGGGCCGGTTTTAGGAAAGAAGCCCCAAATTTTGAAGAAAGAGTTTCAAAATCGCCGTGCCTCGAATCGAGCCACATTGACCGGGGAATATACATTTTGGGAGAAATTGTACATATCTCGTCTTATATTCGGATAAATACGGTGAATTACTTTTTTGTTCACAGTTTTGTTTAACACTTCAAAACTTACCAGAATGTGTTCCAGACACCTCTGTGGACACATGTTCCAAACCACAATTTATTTCCTCTTCTAGCAAATTTGACTCATGCTTATCATTAGGAGTAGACTTCATTTCAACCTCAATTTCTTTGTCTGGCTTGGATTCTGTCAGTTTATTATCTACAATTTCTAAACTTTTTGTCACTTTTGATTTAGAAATGTCATCACAATGCCCTTCAATACTCGTTCTATCACTTTGGGAACAACTTGGTTGGAACTGCACTTTTACATTACTGATACTTGCTTCAGAATGTGAATCCAATTCTGATTCTGTTTCATGTAATGGTTCTTCTTTAATTTCAATTTGATAACATTCTATTATCATGGGTGCATTGGGTGAAGAACGTCCACAAGTACCTTCCAATCCCAGTGTTTTATCTCGGTCGTTGATTCCATCACACTTTAATACTGGTGAAATAGGTGAAACATTTTCATGAGAATTTTCTAATTCCAATGTTTCTTCTTTAATTGGAATTTCATTACACTTCAGTACTTCTGGAGAAATGTTTGTTGAATTTTCTTGAATGTTTTCTGATTCCAATAGTTCTTCTTTAATGTCATTACTATCAAACGTAGCACAAAAATCCGGTTTAGGGGGTAAAAATGATCCAGTACTATTTTCTAATTGGCAACTGTTCTGACTGTCAGAGGGAAGCAAGTCATTTCTCACTGAAATGATAGCTGCAATCACTGGAACTTTGCCCACAGTATTAGGAACACTACTCAATTGTTGCTTTTCATCAGCAAAGTTGTAATTTCCGTTTGCAGTGGCTTTGGTAATATGATCAGATTCAAAGGAATTCTCTTGAGTATTTGATAGACTATCTTCACATTCTCCTGGGATGTTAGCTACATTTCTGCAGTCAATTATTACATTTTCCTTTTCTTCCTGAATTCTAATGCGTTTCCGAGGAATATGTGACTGATCTTCCATATATTCTGTAAGTTCTGTGCGTTCCACACTTGCTTGAGCAAGAGATATTATTTCTGAATAAGACAATAGTCTATCTTCAATATGATTAGTGTTTTCATTACAATCAGAGTCTGATGCAACACAATTGAAAATCAATGAATCAGAGCCTGTTGTGCTATGAATGGAAGTAATTCTTGGACCTGTTTCTTTGGTAGAAGAAGGCTCATGAAAAGAAATCTTTACATTCTGCATGTCAGAAGAGTCATTCATCTCGACATCACTACAAATTGCAAAATTGTCAATATTGTCAGGAGGTTCTTCACATGTTTCACTAGAACAGTTTTCATTCTCAAAGTCAGCAGAGGAATTCAATTCATTTTCTTCATCACTAGACAATGTTATGATTTGAATATTATTTTGAGTTTCGGTACCCATTTTACTAGTGTTGTTTATATTCTGTGTATCTGCAGAATCATCAATTTTTTCATTATATTTTTCATTACATTCCACAATCTTTTCACTTTTTTTTGAAGGTTCTGCACACATTTCTCTTATATGATCACTCTGAGGAAAATTATCTTTATTAGATTGAACATGTTCAATAATAGATTTACTGCTTCGCGATCCATTAGTTGACTTAGAAATTAAAGATGCTGGAACACCTGAAGAAGGAATTGCTTTCCTTTCTATCTGGTGATTTGGAGTTGTCAAACTTCCCACTGGAGATGAACATTCTGGATGAATTTGAAGATGATTTTGGGAAACACAACAATCATCAACTGGAATTTGTGAACCATGCCTTTGTTGAGAGTCTGCAGTATTACAACTTTCAACACAATCTTGAGAAATATGATGATGTTCTTGTTGACAAGGTACTGAACTATTATTTCTTAGAGAAACAGTGCTTTGATGATAACTTTTTGTGCCATTGTGAGACACGTCAACACATTCACTTATAGTTTGTTGACTAGATGGTGAATTGTTGTTAGAGAATGAACCTGTTGTTTTGCAACTGCATTCTATGTGAACCTGAAAAATATTTTGACAATCAATATTCGTTTGTTGTTTTTTTGATTGTGATTTGTCCTTTTTTTCTTCTGGTGCTGTCTTTTTGCACTGCTCTTCAAGGCAATCTCCAGGAGTAGGTCTGTGAGCACTTTTAGTATTTTGACAAGATGGAATGTTTTTTTGAGGCAAACATTTTCTTGCACAATGACTTTCACAGCAACCCTGAGAAACATGATCACTTTCGCTACTAGTTTGTAGTCTGTTAGTTGAATTGTTCTTTGAAGAGGAAACTGCTGTCTTGCAGTTACATTCAAAATGAACACGAAACACATTTACACAATTACTAAAGGTTTGTGGATAGCAATGGCACTGTGAATGGCACTTTCGAGTCAGAGCAGTTTCTCTGCAATTATCTTCATGGTGATCTTCAGAAACGTGTACATGTTTACTGCAACCAACCTGGTGAGGTGGCAACATACTCTTTTGTGGGGCTGCCTTCTTACAATGTCTTTGAAGGTAGTCTTGGGAATCCAGTTCATGTTCACTTTCATCTTCTATAAGAGGCAGGCAGGGAATTGTTATATTCTTCTGTGGAAGCATTGTTTTTTCATGATGTAGAGATGTATGAACACCTTGGCTAGTGGTTGGTTTATGGGATAATGAATGAGTCTTTTGAAAAGTCGTTTTTTTGGGATGGATTTCCGAACACAGTTCAAATACATGCTCACTCTCAATATCGTTTAGTTGATGACACTGAAAATTATTTTTGTTAGACAACAATACTTTCTTGGGGCAAACTTTAACATGTTTTTGAAAACGATGATCACATTCATTCCCTAGACAAGATGGGAAACACCACGTGGCTGATGGAATTTTCCTTTCAAGATGATCTTTGCAACCTTCAGATAATTGTTTGCTTTCACTTCTGGTTTGCTCACAAAATGGCAATTTCCTCTGGTGAGATGGACCTGCCTTTTTGGAATTTCCTTCCAGGTCATCTTGAAGTAAACATCCCTTTGCACAATTGGTTTCTTGACAATATGAGGAATTGCCGTTTTCTAAGGGGACTGTTATTTTAGGATGTCTGTAACAGCAGTCTTGAGAACGTTGCTGACTTCTAGTAGCACTTTGTAGAGGAGACATTACATTGGAATTTTCAATAGCAGATTCCTGTCCTGAAAATGCAGGAACTTCCCTTCTTTCCTGAAATGATATTACTTACTTTAATAACAAATAACAATCCCTCAAATATAACATGAAAAAGCACCACACTGGAATACCTACATAATTCTCATTGTTTTTTAGTCCCTTAATTTCCAAAGAGTTTGCCAGATTTAAAAACGATTTCAGCTGTTGTTCTGGTATTTCTACTTCACCTTTATACATGAACTCAAGAAGAATCTTAAGTTCTTGAAATTTTACATCTTTCAAAATTATTATAGGATGTTTCTCAGTTTCTTGCGTAAATAATAGCTGCAACAAAAAGGTGTTCAATCATGTTATTAATGGCAGAGAACCCTACAATTCCTTAAATTATTATTTAGTCAATGAATGTCAAATTCTAATACATCAAGACAAGCTTCATCAAAACCACTTTAAAAGTTACAATAATTAAATCAAGGCGATTTGTAAGCTTACCTTAACTGGCAAAGAAAAACACAATTGTAGAGGTAACAAAAATCCTGAATATCTTACAAATAGTTCCAATTTGAGGTTCTGTTATTTATACATTTTTCTACGCTCTTTTTAGAATCAAATGAAATTTAGTATTAACTTTGTCTTTTGAGAACAATAGAATTCACCATTGAGAAGACTAAAAGGTCTATTACTTTTTTTCTTATTACATATACCCAGAATTAGGACAGGATTGGAATAATTATGAGTTAAGTTACATAATACTGAAGGAAGAAAACAAACTTAACGCACACATATGTGTTAGTTTGCCACATTAATGCCAGAAAGTTTATTTGGGTGTATCTCCCTTCCCCTCTGATTCTTTGTGGCTATTAAATGTTTCTTGCACTCAGACTTGATTATGAATAATTCAATGGATAAGGTCATTTGTCTCGTGAGAGTAGTGTATGATTTTTGCTCAGGAGGTGGCGGTGATCTCGCCCCGCAGGATGGCGAGATCGGGCGCTGACCTACCATTAGCTAGTGGGGGTTCCCCAACCAGGTATCTACCACCAGCAGGGCTCCCCCCAGCTAGGACAAACTCGAAGCTCCTGGCATGTATGGTAGTGTAATGCGTGTATGTGTATGTAAGGGGTGAAGATGGCCAATTTGTTAAGGTAGTGCTCCGACATTCACCAGGTACTGAAAGGAGAAACCACAGATAACTACCGATCTGAGAACGGGCTGCTTGAATTCTCCTCCAGAGAGCAACAGAACTCGACCTAGCTATCTATCTAGTGTTGAAAATTCTGTCACTGTCAGCATTAGGTGGTAGATTTATAATTTGCAACAAATTGAAATAAATTATAAAGCAGTAACGTGTTGTATTCACTTTATTTGTTATGTATTAAAATTTATGATAATGTCAGAATTAGTTGGTGATTAAAACTGCAACTAACAATAAGAATGGTGACAAGTTTTAAATCAAGGAATGACACATATGCAAGAAAATTTCTGACAAGCCATGCACACACCATTTTAGATGACGCATGAGCTCCAAGTGTACTGTGCCAATTCAATTCACATTCCACGAATATATCATTGATGTAAAAAATATTTCCATTTATTGTCACAATGTATACATCATAATTTTTTAACTAACTTGTTTACATTTTAATGTTTTAGTAAAAGATTAAAAAAAAAAGAAAAAAAAAGGAATCTATTCAAAAAATGATACATTTAAAAATAAATATTAGCCTTATGTAACATTAACCTATGACCCCACTACCCTTTGTAACAGTGCAGAGTTGCCTCAAATCGCCGTCCCCACTCTTTAGTGTTATGTAAATTACAAACATTTTTAAGATTCAACTTGTCTTGACCATCCATTCTAAGAAATGGAGAAACTCCCAAAAAATATATTTACAGGCTTGAAAAGAGTAATTTCTCTTGCAATAGTAGTACACTTAGTGGGGTTTTATGTTGTGCTGTCACAAAACTGTCCTCTTTCTATTGATTTTTAATCTTTTGTGGATGGCTATTAGGCCTATTAAGATTTTCGAAAATTCGGAATTAACCATGAAAATTGGACCTATACACCCATTGTATGCGTATTTTACTCTATTCTTACTAGAAACTTAAAGAAAAAGTATTTGGAGCTGTCATTGAGAAGGAACCCACAAATGAAAGTTTTTCAAAATAGCAGTGCCTTGAGTCATGCCAAATGGACCAGGGAATATCCATTTTGGAAGAAATCGTACATATAGTTTATAGGCTAGTGGTGTTTACAGACGTATGGGCGTTTTGAAAAAAATATTTTTGGGGGGGACTCCAAAACATGTATTTCTGTTCAAATCTCCACATGGATTTTCTGCAGCATTACGTAACTTTCTCTTTACTACATATAGGAGAAAGTAATAAATTGAAGTTACAAAATGAGCAATACTTTTATTCAAGTAAAACATGAAAATGACTATTTATTTACTTTCCCTCTTCCCCTTAAAGCTGTATACATTGTGTTTTCTCCAGCAAGTAGCTTGCTGAAATTCTTCAGAAGTGCTCACCCATAGCTTTCCATCATATTAGTATTTCAGCAGCCTAGATACCCTCTTTCTATAAATTTGTGTAATAGCCATTTTTAAAAAGTAGTAGGGTAACAACCAGTAGAGGCCACTTATATTGCAAATTTGAAAAATAGGAATTTGAGACTTTTCACTTGCTTCAAATGTGCAGGATAAGAAGCTTATGCCTTATAGCTGTGAAAATTAGAACAAAGATAATTTTTTTTCATTAAAGTACCAGTCTATCTGAATTTTCAAATTTGGATTTGCGACATATATCTGAATTTAAACATGCTTACTCGTAGTATTAAGTATTAACAAAGTCAAAATGTTTTTTTTCATCATGTTAATTATTTTATCCGATATGCTCCTTTTCCTTCCAAAAACAGTAATATATGTGATATGAACTGTTAAACACTTTTTGACGATTCTTCTTAAGATTGTTATATGGATTATACTTTAGTGCCTGAACCTAAATTAGAAGAGATGAACATTAAAAAGAGATCTTTTTGTGCCCTAAAGGGATATGAACTATAACTTTTTAAAAGTCAATTAACAGAGCAATTTATTATTGAAAATATAAATTTGCAACAACAATTTGAGGTTTAGGAAGAAGAATTGACTTTCTCCTATTAAATAAAACTAGAGGTACTAAAACAGCATGTACTTTCTTGCCATTAGTAATGGTTATGTAATACCACAATTCCTCTCCAAATTAACACATCTTAGTCATCATTTTTTGTAAAACTCATTTGAAATCATAGAAATTTGGTGCAAAAATTGAGCAGTATGAGCAGATTCTATTGTCGAGTCTTCTCAAATTCATGAGATTTCATTTCCTTTAGAATGTTGAAAAATTGATAAACAATTTGAATTATTAGTGTTTGAGCCAACCAATGAAATATAATTTCCTTAAAAATTAAGACAACTGGACTAGACTATTTTTCATCATTTTTTGACCACAGTATATTTTGAATGGAAAACAAAGAAAAGAAAAAACAGATTAGCAAATGGAACTGTTTATGAACTTGAACAAAATGTAATTACAATACACCAGTGTTGTTGTCATACGACGTTCACTGCGTTTCCCCCCATATTTTGTAACATTATTACTATCTGATAAAATATAAAATTGACAACATGTGTTTCTTTGAATTCCATTCTCACTAATGTCTTATAATCAAATGATCATAAAATACATGCCAACATAAAGGCGAAAGACAATACTACAAGATGTTATCAATTTCAAACTGATGTGATGTGTATGACAATTTTTTTTACAATGTTTTGAATAATAAGTGTATTGCCCAAAACATGAGTTAACCATGTAGCATATCCATCAAGATCGAATGTGTTAGTATTTTCAAAATTTCTGGCAAAATAATTTTTCTTTCAATATTAGTGAACATGGCAACCTGAACTGAAAATGGTCATGAGAAATCACATGCATGTAGATACAGAAAAGTACCAATAAATCAAAAACTAACAAACTTAGAAACAAACAGCTTTAAGCATAAAAAACAATTAAAAACAAAAATTCCAATTTTTTATGGAAAACCTTCATTTTGAGGGAGATGAGTACCTTATCTTATATTTAAAGAAAAAAACTAAAACATCTTATTAATATTGGCATTGCAAAAATGGAACATGGGCTGACATTTTTTTGGAAGTGTTAGTTGTCTCAAACATGTATAGGAACTAAAATATTTATTGGCCATTGGCCATTATAGACCACCACTAAAATTTTGCTTTTATGCAAGTTGCCACTACTGGAACAAAATCTGGGCTTGGAAATAAATTAATAAAAAACTGAACAAATTAAAAATTTGCCATTTTTTAGGTAAGAAATCTATTCACTACAGACTTGAGACGTTTTGTAATTTCACACTATTAAAACAAAAGTTTAAAGCTACCCTGGCACTAATTTGTCAGCTCCTTGATTATGCCAATACAAATAACAAAAGTACAAATTAACAATTTCTCACAAAATAAAAAAGCTGTACTAATGTTTTTAAAGAATAATCAATTTTAATAACCCTCTCAAAACGTTACCCTCACTTCTAATGATTCTTCTAGAAATTCTCTAATTCTTTCTCGACTTTTCATGAAATTATCTGATTTATTTCTTGACTTTTGTGAAACTCCCTGATTTTTCCGTTTTCCGTGTTTTCTAGAAAGTGACTACCATTCAGAAAGCGGAATGCAAATTGCCCATTGAATTTCACACAAACCAATTCTGTGCTAGGGTTCAAAATTTTGAGTAAACTATAAAAATAATCTTGGCCACTATGGATGCTTTCACTCTACATAAAATGCCACTGATTTGGCTAAAATATTTTTATACACCTCAAGTATCAGAATGTGCAAGAAAAAATCAATATCTTTTTCTATACTTGAATTCTACACACTAAAATAAGAAAAATAAGGCAAAATTCTTCACAAGCACTAAAGACCTTTTGTGGACTGCTCTTTGTCTGGCTCCTGCCCTTTGACCTGTCTGGCATGGGTGACCCTACCAGGAGCACATGCTCCCGCCAGCATAGCTCTCCGGGTCGTAACGGAACACACAAACCTCCCCACCACGATAAGGTGGCAGTCCCTAGGGAGGGCAAAGACAATTAAACAAGAGATGAGAATTTGCTGCTTCTTCAATTCCTTCATTAAAAAAAATAAATTAAGTTCTAGCAAGAATGCCATCAAATAGAACCAGATTGACTCACAACCCGTGAACTGGAAACCAGACTGAACTTTGTTGATCTTTAAAGTACATTACGATGATTTAAAATAATGCATTAAGACAAAAATCTTAAACAATTACTCAAGATGTATTCACTTTGGGATGCATTTAAATTAATTTTTCTCAGTTAGGCCAATTGTTAGTTAATATACAAATAAAATGTCTGGAATAAATTTAACAAAAATCCCTGTTTAAAGTCAGAAATATCATTTTGATACTATTACTATTTATATTATTATTATTATTATTATTATTATTATTATTATTATTATTACTATTATTATTATTATGTGTAGTCAGGTTCGGTGCCGTTAGTAATCTATTTCCCATGCGGTCACCCTTCTAGGAGGGTGTAATTGCTTTAACTTCTGTGACTTCACAAAGCATAATTAAGCAATTCAGCTAACAATGCCATTAAACTGTTGAAAACTAATTATCTGTATTAAATTAATTAAATTTCTCTCCACACAATAGTCCAAAAGAATAATCAATTAAACTTGAATATTGAAAACAGAAAATAACAGCATTAAATTCCTTTGAATTCAATGAAGAACAATGAAAAACAATAAATATATCTTAAAATATCTCCACCTTTGTGGTATATCGGCAGTTCGTGTCCTGTCTAGTTGTGCAAACTGTTGAGTAATTGAGGATCTATCGAATACAGTCTTGAGATTTATTTTACAAATATTTACCCAATTTTAATATAACTCAATATATAAATACAAATTAAAGAAAAATAATTAGAAGATCAGGAAATTTTAACATAGACATTATCAGGAAAATACATCACTTTCTGCTGCATTAAGAAAAAACAAAGATCTATAATGGCAAACCAGATAAAAATTATATAACATTGTAAACTATCTATACAATGAATGTTACCACTTTTGTGATCAACCAAAAAGTTTGAGTAACTTTTTAAAGAAAATAAAGCATACTCCTAGATGGACAATATCATATTTTTTACATTTTTCTTGCAGGTTTTCTTATTTGACATATTGTAGTTGATTTCTATTCTTCTATACATTATTTGTTATTTGGTGATTGTGATCTTTTGCTTTACTTATAAATAGAGCTGAAAATTATAAGCAATAATATGCTGTCAAACAAAGATATTCACTTATTTGCACTTTAATAGAATACGAAATATAGTGAAACATGGTCATATGGCCACCTCTATTAAATATCTATTTGTACATGGAACCGATTGATTTTTCTATATGACACTTTTACATATTCCCTCATTGAAGTGATCACTTTGTCTTGCACTCATCAGCCATATACATTTCACAGTTTGAACTGTATTATGAGGTTATCTTTGGAGGTATTGAACTGAAGAATAATAAGTGGAAGTGTGATATAAATGACTGTTGATTCAATTTCTTTCTGCAAAGGAATGCATGATCAGCTTACTTTGAACAGTGATATCCCAAGACACTATTTCGCAAGGAGATTAATTTGTTTTAGATAATATGATTTTAGTAAATGTCTCTTAACGACATAACAGTGTCTCGCACATTTCACAATATTTTCATGATGATTGCTAACCTTTGCTTCCCTTTTGTTCTTCAGCAATCCCTGATTTTAATTGAACTTATTCCATAGCACATTTAGGCTTTATGTGTTCAACATGCAACATGAACGCCTTTATTAAATGGCTGCCTCTTTTAATAACCTTTTATTTTCAAAACTGTACATGGCCCCTTTAAACAGGCTTCACTCTTATAACACAGGTTACAAATAGATATTGACAAGTTATAAATAGATTGTATATATTCAATAAGTGCAATTCAAAACTGAAATATGCTAAAAAGGTTTAACAAGAAATATTGCTATACATGAAAAAGACAAATAATAAAAAGTGACACACCCAGGACCCAACTCATTGATTCCCTAAAGAAACACAGTAATTGTAAATGACCACATTCTTTCAGTTTGCAAACAAAAACCAACATTTATCTGGTTTTTAATAACTTTGAAGGTCTGATTAAACACTCCACATCACTGAACATAGTGGCACATATTAGAGAAGTCCAAAATTTATTGAAACAATTTTAACACCAGAATCCTCTCACACCATCACTTCATTGTTTTTCCACCCAAGATACCAACTCCAAGTAGTATGTCCCTCCAATGAAGGTTTTCAGTAAAATATGGATATTTCTTCATTTTGCTGCCATTCTTTTTCTCAATATTATAAACTTTGCAATGACTCTTGTCTATGGCAATATAAGAACACACTGGTAATGGCATGTTTTGGTTGTTTTGTTGTTATTTTGTCAATTAAAAACACCAGTATTTGACTACATTTATGAATTAAGGCTGAATGTGAGATAGTTACTTACATACTCCATGTTTGCCAAACTGTTGGTATGAAGGTCCTGCTACAAATGACTTTGACTATAATGAATAAACTCAATGCAGGCCACATATTCAAAAGCATCTCTTTCACATGTTGAAAGATCAGATTAAAGAACACTTTGAGGCCAAAAGTAGTGATTTCAGGTGGGATCTTGATTCAAAATAGCTCCAAGGCCTTCTGAGCCAACAATTTAACAAGTTCTGCAATATTACTAATTGTAAGATTTATGGAACCAGGGTGTGATATTTATTCCTCTTCCAGTTAGTGGTATTAACAATATCGTTATCAGTACACATTGTACAGCAACACTTGCACATTATTTGGTGATATATTTATCATATATCAAAACAACCCTGCATTGGAAAAGTCCAATGCACTTCTCCATCAATATTTCTGAGAAGTTTGTTTTTTAGCAACAATATAAAAAAAAGTTAGAATGAAGCAAAATAATATAGCAAAATTATTTTCATGGATTGATATACTATCTAAAATTGATTACAAGAGCATGAATGTTTTCTGTAAATTTATGTGGTAATTACTATTTTCACCATACATTTCATATTAATTTTATTGGTGTATTTTGATTTTGGTAACATTAATAACAAATTCACATAAACATTGATGTAAAAGTGCACTGGAATGTTCCAAATTTCGGGGTTGTTATGAGTAATCTTTATTTATTTTATTTTTGTCAAATTACTTACAGCACAAAAGAAAAAAGCAACAACAACAATAATAATAAACTGCCTTCTAATTTTGTGGAAGAGCTACGAGAAAGCTTAACCAAAAGTGACAATGTGTCTTCTTTCAGACAATTTTGAAAAATATAATAAATAGAAATAATAATAATAATAATAATAATAATAATAATAATAATAATACCCATAATAATAATACTTATTATTATTATTATGATCTCATTATCATTCTAGAGTTTAAGTACAAGAGAAAAAAAAGGAGTATGCAAGGTTACGGTGGTGAATTCTCTACATATTGCAACTCATACAGGGTTCGTATATAATCATCTTTGAGCAGATCTGAATGCCCTTACATCTTCATTAGGTTATTCACAATCATACAATGCTGAAGGGCATCACTTTTTTCCCAATCAATTGTTTTGATGAACAATATTAATTTTTGAAGTAAAGTTCAATAATTATTTCTTAAACAGGCAACAGTAACACAAATTATGTCACAATTAATGCTATCACATTTACTCATAACTCATCGTTATGTAATGTAGTAATTAAATTAAATTTCTATAAAATAATTATTTACTGATGCTATATTTTTATACAAGTCACAGCATCTTTCAATTGGATTGTAATTAAAATGTAAATGTTTTACAATAATTTTTTAAATAAATATTAAAAACTCAATTTATAACATTTTCTTTTCACACCCTAAAAACTCTAGAAGTAGTTCACTATTACCCAGATAAAACATTGTAACATTTTCTTTATGCTTGACAGTTGGACCTAGGCAGAGACAATGTTGCCACTTTACTGGCCTCACCTTGTGCATGCAGCATGATCTTTTGTGGGCAACCTAAAGCAAATACCAGATTTGAGTCCTATATCTACATTGATACTTTTAACGATGTGATATTGGATGTTATAAATGCATGGCAAAAGTGCTCAGCTGATAAGATGCATTCTCCTCTTCATTTATTAATTACATTCATGACATTGGAATATTGATATCATTAAGAAACGATTATGTCACTGGGAAAGCTGCTGCTACTGTATATCACTAGGAACTGACTGTCAGTCATCACATGACTCTCAAACGTCAAGCACAAAGAAGTTTGATACAGTGTACAATGACCTTTCCTACTCTACAACATTACGGTAGAATATGAAGATAGTCCTAACATTAAATGTTTATACTACTGTTGTATAATAAACTAACATTTTCAATTTAATCATCACAATTAAATATTGCTGTTGGTAAATTTGTACAATCCTTATAAAAATAAAATGTATTTGTACCCCAACTAAAAACCTTTCTACTGGGAAAATTACTTCCAGTAGAAATACAACTTCCATTTCTGCCTCAATTCTACAATTCACAATACCCCCATCTATTTTAATCTCAGGAGATCATAATTTATGCATATATTAACATTAATTTACTTTTTGATTTGTCCACATGCTGGCACTACACTTTAAGTAGGTTTCTTATTTAATAGATTTAACAAGGAGGCATTTAATAGTATTTACAAGGTTCTCTGGCATAATATAAGGATAACAGAATAGGGAGAACATAACACAAGCAGGAACTTACAATGAGTTTTGTTTGCATCACAAAGTTTGAAAATCCACAATTGACATGGATAGAATATTATCCAGATAACTGGTTACCGGGAAACATTCTCACCTGGAAATAAGGACTGGATGCTGCAAGTATGACCCTGTGAGCATTCAAACACTGTCCTTCTGCTGATAAAGTACAGTCCAATAAGATGTTGTTTTGCAACAAATCTTGAAAAGTTGACATCAACACACTGTGATGACATTGCCAATTTAATGACAAATGAGAATCATTCATTTTCATTAAATGTCTGAAATAAAGACTAAACATGAAAGATAGAAATATAAAAGGGTATGAATTACATTTTTTGGGTAAAAGCTTAGTACTGAACTCAATTAGCATGGAATTTCTTCCACCCTCTCAACATTAACTTATAACTCAAGACATTCTACAATTCTAAGGAGAAAACCTATCTGATAATCAAATATTAAGTAGATGTATAATAAAATTCACTTTCATTCAACACTTATTCCAATACATCGAAAAGAGGAAGGGAAGGAAGGAGAGGAGGTAAACCATTCTTACTTAACTATTAAATTATTCGCTTCTTTATCAGGAAATTTATTACCTGAATTTTGTTATAAATGAATAACCAACTGCTCAAACTGCTCTATATAATAACCAATAGATTTAAACCAACAACTCTTTTCAAATGAAAGACTTATGAGATTCACATTATTTCATTAATTACTAATATAAATTCAAAAGAAGGGCAGGAAAACACAAACATACTATGGAGTCATAACATTCAAGTCGTAACGTAATATAAATAGAAAAAGAAATCAAAATATAATAGAAACACGGGACAATACGAGTAACGAACCCTTTGAAAACAAAAGTTTGTCAATTTATTACGGAATAAGAAGAGAGAAACTTACAATGCACAAAATTAAAGTAATAGAATTAAGGCCCAAAACTACACTGCAATCAACTCACGAAGGATGAAAAATTCAATTAGCACTAATGCCCATTTAGAATCACTCGCCACAAAACATTACTACGGGTACACAATTCACGCACCAATATCACCTGAACAGGTTGAAACGCACTCAAAGCATGTTCTCTCATTCTCAGAGACAAAACAACATCGTACGTCCGATTCCTTGTCAATTGCCAACCACTCCACAGAACATTGGATTTTCAATATTCACGTATTTTCATGATATATTTATAAATATGTACCTAAATATTAACATATTTAACAAAAAGCGTTTGTAAAATCGTTACATGGACATGAGCAAACTTTGATGATGCCCCAAGTAATCATTACCATCACGAATCGTGCTGTTTACAGTTTGATACAGATGTTTAATGCAAAACGCCATCAGAGCGCGACATTCAACTGCGAAAATTCACGGTTCGAAAACACATCATTTTATATATCATTTTAGTGAGTTCTACGTAGTTGTATTTTGTTAAACTTTGTACATTTTTTAATACATTAAGTTGATGAAATGTTCTCATGTTAATGGAATTTTCAAACACTCAAATTCGAAATCGATAGAATTTGCGATATTTTGGGGGGGAGGAATTTAGAAAACAAAAATTGCTTGAAGAACCTAAGTACATTTGCCCTTAAAGATGAAATTCAAGGCCATTTCAGTTAAAACTGCGAACAAACAACAATAACGATGATGATAGTAATGATAATAATAACAACAATAACAAAAATATCAATAATAACAAAATTAACAATAATTCCCCGTGTGGTGTCGGTGGTTTTTGTAGAATAACAACAAGGGTCCTCCTTGAAGTAGAAGGCGACTAATCAGAGCAGCTGTCCGCTGACACTCCCCTAAACATCCAGGCACTCCGACTAACTTCGTGTGTTATTGCTTCCACTTACTTGTGGCACACATGTTTTCTGTTCTGTAGGCCAATCTTCGTTTCGGCCAATCCTTGTGTTTCCGACCCCGACGCTTTTAGCTTACGAGGGCTAGGGACTCGTTTCCGTTCTACTCTAATATTCTGTTCTTCATTGTCCTCCCTTCTCTTCTTCCGTTTCCTTTTAACTGGCGGTAGCTCAAAAACGCTAGGGAAAGGTGACCCCGAAAAGAAACCCGCGATGGAAGGTCCCTTAGGATCAACAGTTACGGTGCAGGAGATCGGAGCCCCAGTACTGGCAGTGGGCAAGAAGGCCCCTGCAGTCGTCAACCAGCGATTGCAATCTCAGAGACGTGGAACGCTTGGCGTCCCTGAAATACTACACTGTGACAAGCGAAAGCCTAGAGCCTGCAGGTTTTAACCCCTTCTCTGGGAAGTCGAAATTGCGGAGATCACTCCAAGCACCCTAACCACTCCAGGGATACCTACCGACCAGCGGGAGCGAAATCGAAGCACGACTGCGGAAGGAAATGGCGCGGAGAGGGAGAGACAGGAAAAGGACCCGCAGAAGAAATGAATCCGAGTGTTTTGATGAATAAATGGAAGACCATACAACAACTGGAAGAACAACAGATAACAATCATTGGTAGCCTAAACGAAAACCTCAAGAGGATGGAGGATATTTCCATTCTACTATTAGGACACCAAAAATTTAAAAATGTTGTTGTTGTTAGGATGATATGATGATGATGATGATGAACAATAACGAAACAACGACATAGGACAATGGACCGGAGGAGGGGCTCAAACTTTGCGATCCTTTGGTCGAGATCACTCCGGCACTGCTGCCGGCCATCGGAACCAGAAAAAAAGTATTATTATATGCACAAAGAATTAAAAAGATACAAAAACCATGTTGTCTTTCCATGTCAGAAGTAGATCTTTGAAAGATGTGCCGAGGTATTCTACCGAAGCATAAATCATTGAACCTCAGTTACAACCGGTTTATTTTCCCGTATACGTACGTATATACTCGTAGTACAGGGAAAGTAAACTGCGGAAATTCGATTTCGTGATTGCAACGGAAATACACATTTTGGGGATCCCTTGAAAATGTTTATTTATTTTTCAAGACGCCCGTCTGTCCGTCAGGTGTATGTGAACAACACTAGCGCCTAAACCATCCATAGGATTCTTTTCTAAATTGAAGAAATCCCTGTCCATTTGGCCTGACTCGAAGCTCTGCAATTTTGAAAGTCATTCATTAGTATTTGTTCTTTGAATGCAACAAAATCTAACAATAGCCCTCACACAAATCAAAGAAGAACAGAAGGTAGAGTTTGAATGGCGACCAAAGGCATTACTTTACATGAAGCCTCTGGGACATTTTTAAAATATTCTTCAAAGTTTTTCTTTACATTTCTTGTAATAGTAGAGTAAAATATACTTATAAAGGTGACATAGATCCGATTTTCACGGTTTCTGAATTTTCGAAACTGACAAAGTTTGAATTTTTTTCGGACCCTTCCTACAACTACAAAATTAAAGATAGAGATTTTTCCCTGGAATACAATTTGTTATCAATAATTTGTTTTTTCATGAATGTCACGTTCACTAGTTTGAAAATTTTAGTTGTTTTTGCGCAATATTGCGTGCAATTTGTGCAATTTTAAAGAATTACAAAAACAAGATATTCTTAAAAACAGCTCCTATATTTTCTTTAATTTTTTTGTAATTATTGTGCTAAAAGTACTCTGAGATGACATAATCGTCATATTGCTTTATTCTTTTGTTGTTGTTTTTTTCAAAAATTACAAACATGTAATTTTTTGACTTGTCTCTCACGTGGTTAATATTTATGTTAGCTGCAATTTGTTCACATTGTTATATTTATGAGTACATGTGCTTTAAATAATATCATATTTAAAGCTTCTAGAAAACTCAACCATTCTCTCAACTCAACTCAGCTCAATATTTCACAATTTCAGAAATGCTCATTTTCTTAAAAACGGCTCCAAATTTTTTCTTCAATTTTTTTGGAACAGATAGTGCCAATTGCACTCTTTAAAATAACGTAAAATTCATTTCGGTGTTTTTTGTTTTATCAAAACTTACACTAATACATTTTTTTGTCAAAAATCTTTCATAATAGTAATATATACATCCACATACATCCAGTAATATACACATCCACAGCAAATTGTCAACACTGTTGTATTTGTTAGTTAATGTGTTTGAAATGACTTCAAATTAAGTGTTTCGACACCTTAAAAATTTTCTGTGAAAAATGGCTTCAAATTTTGAATTTACTGTAGCGCGTAAACGCCTTTTTCTTAAAAACCGCACCAAATTTTTCAAAGAAAATTGCCATTTAGGACGAGATTCTACTGTTCTTTAATATTCTTCAAATAATATTTCCACTCTACTATTAGGATACCGAAAAATTAAGAAAATAATAATAATAATGATAATAATAATAATAATAATAATAAAATGATCGAAGTGAAAAAAAGAATGCCACCTTGGGAAAGACGGCTGGTGAATCGTATAGAAAGCACTAGGAGAGATATTGGGAGACTCACACAATTTAAAAATGGAAATATCTCAGAAAAACTGAGAAGAAAGTGTGAATAACATCCTCATCAATACAAAAATTCATACGAAGCATAAGCCCTTGAATTCAAACAATAAACAGACATCTTGACACCCCTACGACAAAAGCTTTTGGCGTTAAACAAAACGCCTTCGACGCTACAGAAATGCACTACGAGGAAGCAACAGAATTCTCTTTTAACAGAAAACCAGAAGCATTCTACAGGAATATGTCAAAGGGCAAAGGGCTTGTAAATGATATGGAAGGGTCAAAGCTTCCTCAAAGGCACAAATAGAGGACTTTTGGAAGCCTATCTGGTCATCTGCTGTGTGCCCACAACCCAGAATGCGTGGATTGAAATGGAATATGACAGACACCGAGATATCCCTCTAATATGTTGAACCAATCATCCACCGTGGAAATTGTCCAAGCAGCTTTGAGCAAAAGCACATAACTGGAAGGCACCAGGCAGTGATGGCCTCCACAATTATTGCTGCCAAAAAATTTTCAGCACTTCACCAATCATATAGCTAATATAATTCAATATTTCTTCACAATCGAAAAATCTACCTCACTTCCTCACTGAAGGTAGAACATTTTTGTTACCAAAGGAGGTGACACTAAAGACCCCTCGAAGTACAGGCCTATAACTGCCTTAACTTTCTACAAACTCATAACATCTTGTGTTTCGCAAAGATGATGACACACATTGCAGAACAGAGCATCTTAGCAAATGAACAGAAAGATGTAGACCTTGGATCTCAGGGATGCAAGGAGCAACTCATTATAGACTCTGTAATTATGGGCAAGTGCTTGAAAAACAAAGAAACTTGTAACGCATGCTACATAATTACGCTAAAGCATTCGAACCGTGGCCCATTCTTGGCTCCTTCAATGTTTGGATGTATACAAAGGTCCACCCGTTTATCCAAAACTTCCTGAAAACTGCGATGAGTCGATGGAATACAAAACTGTATCTCTCTAATGGAAATAATGCTTTCACACAGATACTATAAACATCCGCCGAAGGATTTTCCAGCGTGACTCTTTTAAGCCCTTTTTGTTCTGTTTAGCCTTAATCCCCTCTCTAATCTACTTAATTCATCTAATTATGGAATCGCTCTTAAAAAGGGGAACTAACTCTTCTTCGTGTCTCACATCTCCTTTACATGGATGACCTGAAGCTCTATGCAGACACTGAGAGGCATATGCGGCAACTAATAAAGTTCACTGACGACATTAAGATGAAAATTCGGTTTGGATAAGTGCAGGAGAGGTGAATATCATTCGCGGTCATATGCAAGTATATAACATTTGGAAACTGATAATGAACCAAAGATACCTTCATGGAACCCATGAAACTTACAAAATACGTTGGGTTCTCCAAACAGTCACTCCGAATCAAACACACTGTTACTAAGAATATACTAACAATGAAGTGTGTAAACGATTGCATGGGCTCTTAAAAACTCAACTCTCTGCTAGAAACCTTGTGCAGGCCCATCAATTCATTTGTTATTCCAGTGCTGACAATACTCCTTTGGACGTTATTAAATGGAGCAATACGACCTCGACAACCTCCAGAGAACAATTCGAAACCGCTATGACTCAACCACCGAAAACATCATCCCCATTCAAGTACTGAGCGTTTTACCCTTCCAAGGTCGCAAGGAGGGGCGAGGTATTGTAGATCTTCATAGATCTACACAGCTCTCAAATTGCTTCACTCAGAAGATACTTCTTGGAACATTGTGGGAGAGTTCAGCAAGCAAGTGAGCGCAGTTGTAACTATATCCTCTGAACTTTGAAAAAGCTTGATCCGCTCTGTTCAACCATCATTGAAACGGGAAGAGAAGATAACCTTATGGAAAGCAAAGGCACTGCATGGAAGGTACCCTCACCGGCTGAGTAAACAGAAGTCGACATCTCTGCGTCGCACGCATGGCTCCAGCACGGGGATCTCTTTCCGGAAGACAGAAGCCTTCATGATAGCTATCCAGGACTAAGTGGGTACCAACATTGAACTACAGAAAACACATTCTGAGAGATTCTTCCATTCATTCGACTCGTGTAGAAGATGTTGAGGCTGCAAGCGAAAACCTATCCAACACGTGACAAGTGGATGTAGCAGCCACGCACAGGTGAATACAAAAAGAGGCATGATGAAGTGGCGAAGCAGGTACCACCAATTATTGGCGTTGAGAAACGGGCTTTTACTCGCCACTTCCGTGCCGTATTATAAATATGTTGCCTCAGAATGTGCTTGAAATAGTGAGCACACACTCTACTGGGATCGTTCCATTATCACTTGGACAACATGTCGGCGGCAATAGACCCGATATAACGTACATTGATTAGAAACCAACAGCAGGTTTTCCTTATTCGATATAATCAATACCCAATACCCACAAACATATCGGGAAAATATCAAGAGAAGATCCATAAGTATACCAATCACGCCTATGAAGTCGCAACTCAGTGGAACTTCAGTAAAGTGACGACTGTGCCTATAATAATATCAGCTACGGGAGTGATCCCGAAAATGACACTTTCGGGGCACTGGAGTGTCTTCACTTGGATACAGGAATGTATATCAATATGCAAAAGACAGTAATTTGAATACATGCCGTATTGTCAGAGAAGCCATCTGAACCTTCAGTAAAGCAACCACCAACACGCTGGTCATCATACCTGTGGTGTGGTTGACATACACCAGTAGATACTGTGAATAATGTAAGACAATAATATATAATAATATAATAATAATTATTATTATTATTATTATTATATTTTTATTATTATTAATAATAATACTAGACGGTCAAATCGTGACAAAAAAGTGAAGTGGCTCAGTGTGTAGAGCGCAGACTTCGTAGTCGGTCCCCGGGCCGGCCGTCCTGACCGGGTTTTAGTAGTTTCTCTCGGTCACAAGGCAAATGCTAGGACGGTTAAAAAAATACCATGATCATCTCATCATCATCCTATCATCTCAAATTCATAATTGAAGGCAACCTTGATTTACCAAGAGATACAGCCCAAAACTGTTTCCCATTACGACACTCGTTTATCTCTCTCCGTGATACCGTGGACAGAAAGGTCCGATACACAAATAATAATAATAATAATAATAATAATAATAATAATAATAATAATAATAATAATTTTACTTAAGGAATAAAGGTTAAGGACTTAAGAAATAACTACTTAAGGAATGCTCAAGTGCAAAGTGGCTGTCTCTGCTCTAAGAAGGAAAAACGTATTAACGGGTAAATGTAGAACTATGATTTTCAGTGCGGCGCCTTTCAAATTGGCGCGCACGCCGCGGGGCGGCGCGCGTATTGGGACTCGCCGCATCAAGATATGCTACCTCCGAGACCGGAGGCGAAGGGCGAGTCACCGGCGTGACCAACACCACCTAGATATACAGATATACAGTATCTAGGTGGTGTTGGCGTGACTGCTACAAAGTAGCCAATGCTACTCGTATATACAAAAGGCGGCTGCAAGGGCAGTCAAGCTCTACAGATGCAGATTGCGAAGCTTGTTTCACAAGCGGAGCAAACTGTCAACGGCAAACTGCTTGACGCTTTATAAAGCAATTATTAGGCCGCAGCTGGACTGCGCATGCCCC